GAGACAACACTGCTCCATCAACTTCCAAATTAGAGATGAAATTCTTCTTTCTCCTCCCATTTGCCACTAAATGGAAAAACCTTGTGTTTCTGTCTCCCTCCTTTAGCCACTTACACCTGGATTTTTGTCTCCAACTGATTTCCTCCTTACCTCCATCTGCCTCCTCAAAACCCATCTCAACTTCCTTTCTTCCTCTCCAGAGGAACCTCTCTCTTCCTTCAGGTCCAAATCCTCGATTTGCTCCACCAGAACTTGTTTTCTCTCTTCTAATCTTCCAAACCCCAACCTATTCCACCCCTTTAATTGTGATTTTAAGTATTGGAGTTTGTTGTGGAACCTCATTCCCTCCCAATCAACTACCGGATTAGCTTGCTCCCACCACTCTCTGATCTTCTCAATGAAACCCAGATGAGTCAACCACATGTTTTCAAACCTGAAAGGGGTAGGCCCAACTCCTCTTATTTCCTCMTTGACCAACACTATAGGCCAGTGGTCTGAAGTAAGTCTTGGGAGAGCCCTAGAAGTAATATTCTCCCAATCTGTTGAGAACAAAAATCTGTCCAACTTAGAGCAAATTGACCTTGATTGAAGGTTGGACCAAGTGAAGTTATTATTTAGGAAAGGAAGTTCTTTAAGTTCAAAAGAGTCCACAAATTGGTTGAACTTCCTCGTACTTGTTGTCACTCTCTGTCTAGGGTTGTTGGTTTCCTTTGTAAATCTCACTACATTAAAATCCCCTCCCACACACCAAGGTCCATCCTAGAAGCCTCTAATGTCACTCAATTCTTCCCATATTTTCTCCCTTTGCCTATAGTCATTGGGGCCATACACATTTGTTAGTACCCATTCATACCCATCGTTCACCTGTCTGAACTTTAGGGAGACAGAATGATCTCCAATTAGCTCCTCCACACCTATGAGTAAATCTTCTTTCCACAAGGTCACAATTCCTCCTGAGGAACCCTATGAGGGAGCAGCCACCCACTTTATACCCCTAGAACTCCACACACTCCTTGCCCATCTGCAATMAAAATCCATTCTTTTGGACTCTTGAAGCATTACCACATCTGGATTAAACTTCTTAATTACCTYTTTAATTGTCGCTCTCTTCCTAATGCTGCCCAACCCCCTCACATTCCAACTTAGGATTCTCATTGAAAACTCTTAGCCTTAACCCTAACTCCTCCAAGATCTATTTAGACCCTTTTCTTCTATCCCCTTTCACTTCAAACTTTTTGTCTCCCTCAATATCTCTTTTTAATCTCTCCACTTCACTCAACTTTCTATTCTTCATCTTGCTGTCCTCTTTTTTTTGCATGTAGGCTTTTAAATCATTCGGGTTCTTCAGCTTGCACCCCAACTTTTTCACAAACTCTGCAACTGATTCTTCCCCACTAGTTTCCTCTTTTTCTAAAGTTGCACTCTCCTCACTCCTAAGAAACTTCTCGTTCCTTCTCACATTACCTTCAACAACAGCCCTTTCTGTCCCCTCCATGCTCCCTCTCTGCATTTCCTTCCTCTCCACTTCACCCAAAAGGCTCTCTATGATTTCCCATATTTTTGTCTCTCTGCAAGTTTTCTCACCCACTTCCCTCCTTGTAGACGCACTGTGGCTTTCAGACCAAGGGCTTTCGACTCTTGGTTGGGAAGAGAATCTGGAACAAGGGACATAGAGCGCTCATCAGTAGCCAAAACCGAATTGACAGAGTTGAGGGATTTACTTGAGGCAGAGATGTGAGGAAAGAGCATAGGCGAAGGAGTGGTAGTCACTTTCTTTTTTGAGAAATTAGAGCACTCTGTCTCCCCGAGTTGGGGGA